CGAGTGGGGGGGGATGTCACGTGCCCTCCGCTGGCTGCCCTCCGAGCGCTTGCCAGATTTGCAGTTTATATAACGAAACATACAGCCACGAGGCTCAAAATACAAATGTGCGATTGTCATTTACGGATATTGTGGATCATATTCAACCTATTTTTGAGCACGACGGGTATATTTCCAATTTCGTAGAAGTATCTCTTTAAGGCCCGTTCACACACTTGCGTTTGACTCCGACCGTCCGATGGCGAATTCCAATGGTCGTTTTGGAGCGCGCCGGGGTCATAGACCAGATCCGCGATGGAGCACGCGGTCAGAGCGGTCAGCGCGGTCAGAACTCCGCCTCCGGGTTTCCTTGGAACATGACCTCTTCTCCGGGATCGGCGGATGCTTTCCCATTATTCCCCTTCCCGGGAATCCTCTTCCCGCGGTCCCGGATCTCGAAGTACATGTTTTCGCAATTGCGGCGCTAACAACACGTGTTCAACGAATGAGCGAAGTTAATTGTGATGTGAAAGATGCGTGTCGATCAGCGATTTGCATCAGCGTAGCCCAGTTGTTTCTTCATCGGAATACTCGTGAATGGTGTCCAAGTACGTCTCGATTTTCGGCCTCTTTTGCGAAGGCCCGAAAAGGCAGTCGAATTGATGCGGGACATACAAGAAATCCTCGTCATCGGTGCTACTCGAGCCGCTGCTGCTGGAGGAGCTGCTCGACCAACTTGACGACAAACTGTCATCAAGCAGCAGCAGCAGTAAAGTGAACTAGCAGTATAGTGGCCGACACTTCGCGAGCGGCCATTACGAATTGTTCTGAGGCGAGATGCCCGGGGAGAAAGGAAGTCACGTGTGCGCGCCAAGGATTGGCCAGGCTGACTTAAGGTCGAATCCGCCGAAATCGGTGGATTCGACCGTATCTCAGCCCAATTTCGGTTTTCGCGAAATAAGGTCGCAGAAGGCTTGAACGGGACGCTACGAACTCCGAAACATTACTCTGCATCGATATCTTAAACGGATAGCCGTATTTTTGGAAAAGAAGGGCAAGTTCAAAGGTAGGACTATGACGTCACGATCCTCCTGGAACAGTTGAGAATGAGGGGAAGCGGCCTCGCGTAGCTTGTGCGGGTTTGAAAATATACTCCATGTTTTCCTGTTGATTGAGTTGTTGTCCGTTACGGCGGCTAAAATTTTGAAACCTATTTGCTCGAGATCGACAATGACTTCTTTCAAAACAGTATGTAGCGACTCCGGAAGAACTCAGCATACTTTGTACCATGAATACATGTGCCGGCGACAGGAGCGAGGAAATGAGGGCAAGGGAGGAGGACCACAGGTCCTCCTCCCCTCGCTCCTGTCGTCAGCTGGCGCGCCGATCCTCCATGTTCTTCCTGAGTCGCCCACCATGGCTCTGTTCGAGATCTTCCGAGTTACTCCGACGGGTCATGTCACGCGAGAATTCAGATAGAACAACGCTCCCCATTGGCTCATCATAAGAGTCGCCGTATACAACAGCTCGACGCGGGCAGTCTTAACGCAGTCATACGCTGACAAACGCAACTCTGGGAACAAGCTTGTACTCGAGAGTGAGATATGGAGTCAAATCCGGCCATGTTCTTCCTAAGCGGAAGCGGAACGCGGGCGCGGACCAATGAGAGAGTGCGCCGGCCCATAAATCGCTTTCGCTACTTAGCAGAGCGTTCATCGAGGAAGTTTAGGTGCGAGCACCGAACTGTTTGCGGCATTCAATACGTGCTTATTAATACGTGGGGTCATCCATTGGTGTTAGCGCATCATAGCTTGGAGCGCGTGAAGCTAAAGTTTGCACTACAGAACCCGGAGATTTTAGGCGTTGTCGTTCCGCGTTTTCGACGTGCGTAAGTTACTTATCGAATGCAGTACGGCTGCCGTGTTCTGGTGGTCTTCTTGATGCGCATCGCGCGGTCGTGTGATCCTGCACTGCTGCACGACGCACGTTAAAGGCACCAAGTTGGCAGTGATATTGCACTGGAGCACCTAACCTGCTCCTCTAAGGCGTTGAGTGAGCTTCGTCACGCCTACAATGAAGACCAATATCTCGCTATACATACATCAACGTTCAATATTAATTTGCCTTACTTTCATATATTTGAATGCTTGCTGCAAATGAAAGACGAAAAAAAAAATCAACATCTAAAGAACACATAAATACAGATCCTTTAAAAAAAATTAAAAAAAAATATCCATGTGAACTGTTATTTAATTTTGCATTCAACATATACCCTGGGTGCAAGGTCACGTGATATGCCCTGTTTCCTGGATTGTCTCAGACGTCTGGCCGAGCCTGTCATACAAAATAACCACAGTCTCTTTGACGTATAGATAACAAAAATCATAATCCGTTTGCCGAATTCAGAATGAAACCGACATCCATCTACCGTATCCACGAAGAGAATAACAATCCAACTACTAACGTTTCATAAATTTCCGGACGGTTTGCGTAATGCAAATTTAAAAGTATAATATACTCGAGCATAAAAAAAATCGTTTGAATGCAGATCGCTATGAAGTAAAACAGTTACAGTCTAAGCAGCAGCACAATACGGAGAAAACTAAAGCAATACAATCTCACGCGTCATACAATAGTAACACCCAAAAGAAGATCGCGCTTTTAGAAGTACTCGACATCTGTTCCTTTCTTTCGACGAAAGTAACGAGCTCTAACACACACACACACACACACACACACACACACACACACACACACACACACACACACACACACACACACACACACACACACACACACACACACACACACATACACACACACATACACACATACATACATACATACATACATACATACATATATGTATCTTCAATTTCATGGGAAAAAGATAGTGAGGTGTGGACGATAACGTTTCTATGTGTCCTCATATTTTTCTTGTATATATGTATATATAAAAGATCAGGACACATAGAAATGTTATCGTCCACATCTCACTTTCTTTTTCTCATGAAGGCGCCTCATTTTATTGCGCTGTTGCTTTTCCGAACTGTATTTCTTCTAGCACGTTGCAATGTTCAGCGGAACTGTAACAGTGGAGTTATGTTTCTAGAATGTAAGCGTGCAGAAATACAAAAAAAAAAAAAAAAAAAAAAAGTAAAAGAAAAATGAAGATTAATTCTTTTTTTAACGAGTAATTTTCAAAAAAAAAAAAAAAACAATAATAAAAAAAAAAAAAAAAAAAAAAAAAAAAAAAAAAAAAAAAAAAAACGACGGAGATGATTGATGCTGAGATAAGAGCCAGGGCATTTGAAATTTGTACCACGCCATATGTTGCATTTTTTTTTCTTTTTTTAAAGACGCAGTCGGATTGGTTACGCAGTGCGCACTTGTTTAAGTAACCACCCGAGCGACACACAGTTTTATGAGTCGAGGGATTTCTGAAATTGAGACTTCGACGACGGACACCACATGGGTTTCGACGAGTCTCCATGACGTTGGTTTAACAGATACACAGGCTTTAAAAGAAGAGTTACTGCGCAGGCGGGCTAATAAACAATCGTAGTTAAAAAAGAAGAAAGAAAGAAAAACCTAGAGACAATGAACGAAAAAAGGGGGACAAACACAATACCGTCTCTATTATTATTATTATTATTACAAATTTATTATCTTGACACGCTCCCTTATTATTCTTCCCTCGCGTTATTTTAGTTTCAAGGGTACAACCGAGAATCATCATTCGTCGAGCTACCAAAAATTTACATTTTTTTCCTTCCCAACTTATGGAAACAATTTTTTTTTTCTTCGCATGATGTGTCTGAATGTTTTGGGGTGTGGACATGGTTATTCCTAGGCGTCGAATAAATTTGATCCTTGATTATATTGTTATACTATAAATAAATAAATAAAAATAAATATATCTGTTTTAGAAAATTAGTTTTCCCTTTTTTTTTTATCAAACACTCGATTTGTGAGGTACACTAAACCAAATGCACAATAAACTTGTGTATCATGCACAGATGGCTTCTGAAAACATTTCATATGTTTCGTTTGTTTGTTCCCCCGTCTCGCCCCTTTTTTTATATACAAAAAAAAAAAAAAAAAAATGAAGAGACATTTTGGTTCTGACAGGAGGTGTGGTCATCTATCCCAAATATTGGAAGTTGTACAAAGCAGTTATAATGGAAGTGGAAAAGGAAAGTCCAGCCCGAAGAATAAATGAATAAAAACCTCTTTCCAGTTGTATTATGTGGCCGAATATTTGTCGGCAGTTTTTCCCCCCAGACATGGGATAACAGTACGTTCTCTGAAACGAGTTTTCCCGCTACTACTCAGAAGAAAGGGCAGGAACCGTTGGTCCGTTGCAACATGCGCAGAGTACCTCCGTCTGCGAATGAACAGCTGTGGTTAATCTCATCAGCACCGAAAAACAAACCAGCCAGGACGCGCTGAAAAAACGCAGCCCCCCCCTTCTACAGCGAGAAAACGGCCGAACCGCTAGGTTCCATTTTGTCGCCAACAGCAGCAGCAGACTGTCTCGTCAGCCACGCGCATCCATCCGAACTGGGACACCAACTCGTCCGTCGCAGCTCGGATGGCTCGGAGCGAAGGCAGGCGACGCGAGCAAGAAAACCAAACAAAAGCGGGTCTACCAAGCAGCAGCCGCCAGCCGCACGAAAAGGGTTCGATTTTTCCTTCGCCAAATTCCTCGACAGCCATCCTTTCCTTCCCTCTTTCGTAGAAAGACACGAACACAATCGCACAGACAGGCGGCGCAGGTTTGTTTTATTTGTACGTTCAGTCCTGGATTGCAATCGTTTCAACTCCAACCTAATGAAAATTCCCCGGTGACGTCAGCTGGTTCGGTACGATTACACGGGCGTGAAGGTAAGTGAGGGTTGATACGGTGGTCACGTGCTAGTGACGTAAAGTTTAATGTTACGCAACACGCATGCGCAGAGCGGTGGCGCCGCCTGGTGGGAGATTGAGTAAGCTGCGAGTCGAAGGGCTCGGAGAGGGAAACGAGGAGCGAGAGGGAGAGATTGTTTTGCTTTGCTCTGCGCCGCCGCCATCTTTGGTGCGACGAGGAAAAAGCGCCGGAGGACTCGATCGGTCGGAGTTGTCGGTGTCTGTCTGGACGTGCCCCGACGTGCTGTGCATCCGTTCGACGGGTTACTGCGTTCATCATGGACATGAACTGTCGCTGCTAACGCCGAGGGCGTCGGATCGAGCCGCGGCTTGAAGGAGTCGTTTTTTTCTTTTTCCCCCTGTGTGTGAGATCTCCTGTAGCTCGACCAGTCGGCACTACGGTCCGCGAATCGGGTGCATCAGTTTCGGTGAGTTACCTTTCCTTTTACACAAATCACGATTTGACTATAATGCGTGGTTAGCGAATACATTTGGGAGCAACGCGCCCGACTAGGATTTGGGCAGTGATAGAGCGAGCGACAACGCCGTTTCACCGGCGCTACCTGAAACGTTCAACGAACGTGGAACGAACGTTGCCCCCACTGGGAGAGAGATCACGATATGCAGCATCGCCAGTTTATGCACGGGGACACGTCAAATTGAGGACGCGAAAAAAAGAAAACAAAACCCCATTTAATTGGAAGCATTATATAATCGCCGCTCCATTTCCTAGACTGTGGTTTCTCTTTTCGGGGCGAAAGCCGGCTCCCCCCTTTTTCCTCTCGAGGTCGAGCGACGTAAGGACGACGGACCAACGGAGGGGCGCTGGAACGGACGCACGGATCGATATCCGACTAGGGCTCGGTTTCTCTCTTCGGATGGATTACTTTTATTTCTTTTATCTTACTTTTCTGGGGCGGCGCGCATTTTTTTTTTTTTTTTTTTTGTCACGGCTCGTCGTTTGGACCGTCCGTCCGTCGGCGTGGCCGGTATGCTGGCGCGTCAAAAAATAAACGAAAAACAGGAAAAAAAAAAAAAAATGTGGGCTAAAAAGGTACAACTATCTGGAAGTTATTGTTATTATTTTTTTTTTTATTTTTTCTATTCGTTTTATTTTGTCGAGCACGCTGGTGACACCATCGTTCTTGGAGTTCTTGGGCCGCCATCCTTCTTGGAGTTCGGCTCTGCCGTTAGGCCTCGCTTTGATCTACTGGCCGCCGGCTGCTACGTCGAGCTTTGAGCGAACAGATTTCGCTAAATGTGACTCATCGTTTTTTTTTTTTTTTATCTTAGGCTGGAAGGTGTTTTTTTTGTTTTTTTTATGAGTATGCTATTGTGGACGACTGTGTGTCGACAGAAGCCTGGTTGTCCGACACAACGGAGAAGTCAGCATGGGCAGTAGGGCGCTGGACTCTAGGCATCGCCGCGATCGATAGGCACGCAGGAGGGAACCCTGCCGGCTCAGGAGCAGGGATCGTGGTCGTTTGTTCCTTATTTTCGTGTCGGGGGAAGCTTAGCCGCTTGTTTTCGTCCGGATAATGAGCGCCAAGAGGCGGAAGAAAGCTATTCGGTGATTTTCGGCTGCTCCCGCGCAGACGGTTCTAGAAATTTCCTCGTCGTCTGCTACGATGGCTTAATCGTTTGTGCAGGAAGGAGCTCGGGGCGGCTCTGGGAGGCCAAGATAGCTTTTGCCGTCTCGCCAGCTCGAGAAAATGGGACGTATCTCTCTGCGAACGCATTGTTTTTTTTTGTATTTTTTTTCTTTGTCTTATAACTGCATTGAAGAAATAAACAAGGAGAGTAAGAGGGGCAGACGCCCGCTTTCAAGACATGGTTTTGTTCAACAGTTTTGCCTTGTTAGTGGGACAAATTGATAAAACTCTACATAGTGATGATGATCATGAAGCAAAGAAAACAACAACGCAACTGCTCCAAGCGAACGTCTTATAAAAGCAGACGGGAAGTCTGAGGCCTACAACACGTCGCCCTTTTCTATAGCGGGGAGCTGACCTTAACACAAAGGACACGTTTGCAACTTTGCATGAGTTCTGTGGATTCCAGCTATCCGTTAAAACCTTCCCGCACCCGGAATGAGACTAGCAAAGAAAGTCGCATCACAAGACGAAGCAGAAATGCAATATTTAGTACAAGTTCATTTTGATCTCTAATAAAAACGTCTCTACAAAGATTTTTTTTTTGTGGAAGTTCAGTTTTGTTGTTTACACATCTCACAAATAACGATTTTGCAGTATTGCTATGCAAACGCAACATGGTTTTCTCCATAAACATCCGAAGGCCCGTTTGCTATCAAGTTAAAGTAGATTTTACTTCTGGAAATTATATCATTTTGCGCTTTTGCTGCACACTCTAAATTATGTATATATATATATATATATATATTCTTTGTGGAGCTTTTTTGGATGACTACAGAAATATGACATATCAATAGTCATATTTCTTATTGTAATAAAGAAGCACAATATAACGTCGGCGACGGTTTTGACTTTTGTTTTTTGACGCGTCATTGGCCTGCTGGGAACTTCTGGAAATAATCCTAGGTAATTTGCGTACATCTGTCAATATATATATATTTTCTTTTTTTTATATTAGGAGTGTTTTTTGCGTGCAACGGATTTGTAACACATAAACAGTCCCCCGCCCCCATCATGGTCATACTTGGGTTAATTATTTGTGAAATGTAATGAAACTAAATATGCAACTACTTAGCGCCAAAGGTAGTCATGTACAATCAGAATTACGCGCACGAAGGTTGTCAATTACAATGACGCATTGCGTTCAGAAGGTAATGCAATTCCTTCACAGTTACTTTCTTTTGAGAGCTACCCGACTACAATGATGTTAATAGGATAATATTTTTCCATTCTAAAATGTATTTTCCGATCCTTAATTCATTCGCTTTTCATTCATCACATCGTATGTTTTCCTTATTGTTCACTTACATCACAAATTATATGATAGAGAGCTTCGTTCTGAGTGTAATACGATCGAATTCGTTGTTTTGTTATTTTGCAACACTACCAAGATCATTGGCGTTCTTTTTATCACGGTAGTCAAAAGTAAAAGTGATCTATTAGTGTCAATATAGTCGCTAAACCAGTCTAATGAAGGCTCCCGCCAGGCACGTAGCCAGGATTTTGTCTCGGGGGGGGGGGGGGGGGGGGGGGAGGAGGAGGAGGGGGGAGGGGAGGGGAGGCCAGGCCACCAACTTCCCCACCCCCCCCCTTCCCCATTCCCTGGCTACGTGCCTGGCTCACGCACTTACTTATTTTGGAAATGGCAGACGTGGAGCAAAGATATTCTACGCGCTAATTACAATGTCATAATTTTTGTTCATGCTAACAATGAATGACACCTTCCGCAGGTGTTGTTGTGGCTTTGACACTCGCTCTGCTGACGGATTGTCGGCGCTTTCGCAGCCCCACGATTTGGCAAGATGTCCTTGAGGCAGACAGTGCTTTTTCGCTCGTCAGTGAAGCGACTCTACAGAGCGAAGCCCCACTGGGACAGAATGTTGAAAGAGAAAAAAAGGTAGTTGTGATTGTAATTGAGATTTTTCAATTAGTGAAGTCCTAGAGTAATCACAGTACAACTAAAACTACTTTTATTCGAAAATAATAAATGGCATCTAAAAGTAATAAGGAAAATGATTTTATTGCTGTAATTGAGTTATTACAATACTACCCACGTATGATCCATCCTGCGACCTTTGTCACATGTCCTGATTTCCACCTTAAATACACGCCTCACGAGGGTTAATAAACTTGGTTTTATAAACAAAGTCGTACAAGCGATGGAAAGGGGAAAAAAAGAAAGGGGGGGGGGGGGGGGTGTCGAGACGTTTTGTGTATATTTCTGTACCGACCTGTATCTTTGAAGAAACCACGAAACGGTTTCGCCGTAGTCGTCTATCCTTCCTTGTGGCCATCGATTCACAGACATTACGCCATCACTGCGGCTTGCCACTGACTGGCAGAAAGGCTCAAAGCTTCAAGTACGTGACAAATAGCCACATGTTTACAACTGAATCGATGTTCAGATCTGTCACACTGAGTATATGTCCGGATTTGTCCAACTTAATAGATGTTCGGGTTTGTCCAACTGAGAGGATGTTCAGATTTGTCCAACGGTTGGGATGTTCAGAATTGTCCCAACTGAAGAAATGTTGAGATTCGTCGAACTGAACGGATGTTCAGGTTCGAGAAAAGGTCGAAGGAAATGATAGGAAAATATTGCAGAGATCCCACTAAAGTACCTATCCTCCGGTGCTTCGACAGGACTTGCACGACCGTCGTGAGTAAATATGGACACAGGCAGGAGTCCAGGTAGATTTAGCTGGTCATTTACACGCTCCGCTCCGCTCAGCTTTAGCGGAACGGCGCCTTTGATATATGCTAAGGCTTTCGCTAGCCGTTACCCTCCTACAGTTGAGCGGAGGCGCTTTGTAGAGAGCCTGTCTTACAGAAGAAAGTGTGCAACTGCTCGATCAGGGGTCACGTGGTTCGTGGGCCGCCTTTGCGATACCAGCTGCGAAGAGGTGGCGAATGGGGTGATCGCGTCTCCGCCTTTCCGCCTGCTTTCCTCCTCGCCGCGCTACAACGCATGCGCACTCGCAACCCATCGGCGCGGAAGTAGGCTTCCCCCATTAAATTGCGAACGATCTCCGTTGTTTGAGATGGGCCCTCTCTACAATTTAGGTTCTACGCCTTTGCTCCGCTCGTTGCGCCACCTGGTTGTATTAAACGAAACTGAAACACGGAAATCTTTGTACCATTTTTGTTTTTCTCAATACTGTTCGGCGTTGTTAAATTTACGGATTTTCTGTTATCTGACGTGACAACTACTACGTGTGCAGCGTATTGTTTAAACATAAACCTTAATGAAAAAATAATAACGGTTTGGTTTGGAAGTAGACATTACAGGGCTGGATGTGGTATTGGATTTCTCCCTTCACCGCGAACATAACGTGCCTCAACCCTTGTGTCCACATGTTCGGTGCTGGTGCGGGTTTGCTTTCACAACTTCCCCGTAATCCGTAAAGGGGTGTCCAAACAGGACAGTATACAAAACGCACGACTCCGACAAATCGTGAAAATTGAAGCGGACGCGCCCGCTTCAAGCCCGCTTCAATTGCATTTCTACCTTCACCGCGAACATAACGTGCCTCAGCCCTTGTGTCCACATGTTCGGTGCTGGTACGGGTTTGCTTTCACAACTTCCCCGTAATCCGGAAGCCGCTTTCTAGGTCTGCGCTCCAAGCACTCGGCTGCAGAGACGCTGGTGCTGCTGGTGCTCTCAGGCGCGCGAAAAGTGCTGGCGGCAGACATCTTGGAATGGCGCAAAACGTGAAGCGTTGTGCCCGTGGCGGCCAAGGCTCGCGTAGGGTTCACTGCAACGTTGCGTCACCCGT